TTTTTTTTCGGAAATAAAGAAGTAAATCTATTAATCTGCTCTCTTTGCTATATTTCACATTTGGGAATTTTGGCATTTGATGTAAAATCTGGGAAAACTTTTTTTTTGTTGTCTTCCACAGGTTCATCAACCAAGTCCAGGAAGAAGAGGTGTCCCTACACCAAATACCAAATCCGAGAACTTGAACGAGAGTTTTTCTTCAATGTGTACATTAACAAAGAGAAGCGACTCCAGCTGTCCAGGATGTTAAACCTGACAGATCGGCAAGTGAAGATTTGGTTTCAGAACAGAAGAATGAAAGAGAAAAAGCTAAACCGCGACCGTCTACAGTATTTCACTGGGAATCCTTTGTTCTGATACCTGGCATATCACACACACGGAGGAAAAATCGCAAACACTTTTCCAAGTGGCTTCATGGTCAGCTGTGATTAACAGTTGATTTCACAAAAATCTGGCTTTAAAAAATTAATTTGCCAATATTTTGTATCATTAGAATTTTTGCACCAACTCTTGCGTTTATTTGTATTCTCATATTTTTGCGTTATCGGTAGCAGAAATTTCCGCAAATTGCGAGCTGTGCTTCGAAATAATTTATATTAAATATATGTAGGCTTCTTTATTCTCTGAATGTATATTTGTAAGGCGCATGCAATGCAAATTGTGGTGTGAATAAAAGTACGAAAATAAATATGCTGTCACGAAACCGATCACAAGGAAGTTTTACAAAAAACTAAACTAAACTAAAAAAACTTTACATCAGGAAAGATTTCGGAATAATTTAGGCGCTTGCAGTACTGTAATGTCCCGTTATTTCCTTTGCTTTGAAACACTTGATTGTTTACTAAACCTTGAACCGTCTAGACACTATAATAAAAGTAGCTGTAAATGTCTAAATAGGGGGCTATTGGACTTTGGTGTCCCAACCCCCAGACCACATGAGGACTGATTCTCCTTCCTGTCTTAAAGTACTTTAACTCCAGGCTAGAAATGCTTTGAGAATTTCTGCGCATCGTTTCCATATTTAGCTCATGCTGGCATATTGGGGCACTTGCAACTAAAGAAATGGAAGACAATGGAAAATATTGTAACCAGGCCGGTCTTCTAGAAGGATAAGTATTTCTTTTTCATGTTTCTCTCCTTTTGCAGTATTATAAATTGGATATATGTTTCTTTGATGGCTCTGAATCTGCGAAGAAGAAAGAAACGCAAAGTGAGCTTATAGCACGAAATTTGTACGATCTTCCTTGTGTAGGTAAGGCGATTCCATCTTTGTGTAGCTTCACCATACACGAACCATAAAGCTGCCTCTGCAAAAAGTGAAAAAATTTTTAATTCCATAAAAATATAAGGTGCTGTATATCCTTCTTTCCCTTTCTTTGTAACCAGTAGGGGGGACGAACTAAATAAATGCACCAATTTCGGACAAAACAGCCGCTTTATTGATAATTAATTTGTTAAAAGATAGGCGATCGCTCATTTATGCAACAAAAATTACTCCCATTTTTTTAGTGTCAGAAAAAGAAAACCTCTATAGATTGATTTTTGCTAATTTAGTACCACCTGGGTTACATTTACTGTTTTCCTCCCCAAAAGGATATTAGAAAACTGAGGTTTCATTAAGCATTTAGAAGGGTGCTCAGCTTGTCCTGCAGTGCAATTGCATTACCAACTGTGAGGGGCGTTTCACTTCAATTCTCAATGTAGCCACAAGAGGGCACTCTCAGTTTTTACAGCCATGCAGTCAATTTAACATAAACCCCACATGAAAGCCTGTCAGTGAGGGAATAATCAGTTCAGCAAGCTGTTTGTTTACATTTCTATTTTAATTATTACTTCTTCCAGTCCACTAAATTCAGCATGGTTTGAATATTGCTGTTTTTTTATTTAAAGACTCATTCCCTTCAAAGTATTTCATCCTCTTTTTTAATGAACTGATAAAAAAACACCGACAAAACGAGAGCCTTGAGTTTCCTTAAAGAAAATAAGAACACTGTTAATCAGAGAGCGCATTACATTTTGCTAAATGCTTCTCTGAAGGGATGAAATTCCTGATGAGTTTCATGAAAACAGCAAACACAATTTCAAATAATTGTCATGCGTATGGAAATGACACCAGGAATTTAATTCTGTTCTGTTTCTTTGTTTGTGATCCGCATCATAAAGGCTTAGACCTTTACCTGAGGGCCGCATGGGCCTGAAGCCCAGTAATATCTCATGTTTATGCTAAAAGGAGCAGTGAATATTGACCCACATTTGCTATATATGTATTTCTGTTCAAATATATATATGTATATGTAACATATATATGTAACGTTTGTTTCTTTTATTTTCATTGTCAAATTCTCGTCTATTTGAGTCTAGCTATTTACTTTGAAAAAAGGTACAGGTACTCCGAATAAAGACCGAGTATTGTCGCAGTTTTTAAGCTTTCTTGTTTTGCTTGTAACTAAAATCAGCCAGTATTTTTTTTTCTTGTTTTTAGATTACCAACTGTTCGTTTTTTAAATTTACGCGCTCTACTCCAATGTTTTAAATACAAGTGAATCTCTTGTTATTTTCTTTAAATTATCACTGTTAATATTTCCACTGTTCACAAGACTAATAATGGCAGCAATGATGTCAACGAGTGTACGTATCCTTCGGACCATTTGACTTAAAAATATATTTTGGATCAATGTGATGTATAAATTGTTGATTTTGCCTGAAGAACATACTGGCTTCCAAATGAGTTTTTTTTTTAAATTGTATGTTAAAATGTTATCTTTGCAACATTATTGGAAACATGATAATTAAAAAAGAGAAAAAATATATATCCATTATCATTTGCCTCATTTAACTGCTGTAAAGCTTTATTTAAATAGCTATAACTGCTGCATATGGTATTCTAGGTTTTTCTTTTTTGACAATCCCGTTTGCATAGCACACGTGTTTGTTTACAGCCAACTATAAATATCGAAGAGCCTTAAAGAGAGCCAAACGGACGTTACACATCTTCTCTTACACACTGTATAATTATTTCAAGCTTGTGCCATTACTATCAAACACATAAGGATTCCCAGTGTTACACTTTTTTGTAAAGGCCGTTAGAATCAGTGGCAATTACTGGCATGACCTCTGATTTGTGATCATGAATAATTTCGTGGACAGTGTTTTTTTCCCTCTCTAGTTTAACAGGCAGTACACGTTTGCCTTCCTTACGAGCGAAAACACTGAGGTATTTAGAGAATACTGTGACTGTGAGCACAGACACGGTCAAGCAAGTCATTTTGAACTCTGCTTCTGAGCGTCAAATACGTAGTTAAACGAAAGCACAGATATGATAATCCTGGAGAAATAGCTTCATGGATTAAGTGTGAAGTGTGTAATAACGACTGAGAAAGCTATAACGTTGACCTTCACGTTTTTACCAGTCTGTGAGTTCAATTTGTTAAAGGTGTGTGTCCACCTTTCACATCATCTTATGGATCTTCTGGGTATTTTAAAAGCTGATATCTTCCAGGAAACGGGGAAATCGTTTCCTCTTTAATAGAGAGATTCTGTGCACCTTAATTGAAAAACATCAACAACAATAAGCCTTTCATAAATTGTCAAATCATAATGAAAAAAGACCAAAATTTAAATAGATGAAAGGAGAAAGCGTTACATTTATATTTAGTTTATTCTTTTGTTACATATTTAATACAAATACAATCGAGACATATGCTGCATATATGCAGGGAAAGCACTCTTAATGATTACAGCGGGTGAAGTGTGAAAGGTTAAATAAAAATATAATCAGCATTATAATCAGCAGAGCTGCTAAATTTTTTCCAAATAGTCTGCAGTTGTCGCCTATGCGCCATGCAGGCACCCCCACCCCCCTCCCCATACACCTACACACACGCACACCTACACACACGCACTCTCTCGAGAATGTCTTCCACACAAAGAGACACGCATATTCTTCAAGTTGGTGCACTGATAAACACTTAAACACTTCACAGCGCGTCTGTCGTCATAAATCTGAGACTAGATTGAAGGCGAGCAGTTTTTGTTGGGATTCAAATGGTCCTTTCGACGCATTTCTTTCAATTTCGCGAATAAGTCTCCAAGTCCCGCGATGCCCAGTGGAAACGTGCGCGACTCTCTGCAAAAACCAATTTCAAGTCCGTGTTGTAGGTGTCGCTGTTGACCACGTCTGCATCCGCAGTGCGAGTGTGTGCAGAGAGAGGAGGCTGCGTCTCAAGGCCATTTTCAAATCTCATTGGTGGGCTTGTCATGTGGTTGGGAGGCATCCTGACTTACAGATTGTTTTTCCTAGATATGTCAGCTTACAAAGGACATCTCTCTCCTCCTAAGAACTTAAATTCAAAAAATGTCCTTCTCCAGTAGCTCTCCTGTGGCAAATACATTTTTAGTGGACTCTTTAATTGGTGCTTGCAGGACGGACAGCTTTTACTCCAACAGCAACATGTACATGCCGTCTGGCTCAGAAATGGGAACTTACGGAATGCAAACCTGTGGACTCCTGCCGTCTTTCGGCAAAAGAGGGGAGGTCAACCACCAAAATATGGGCATGAACGTCCACTCGTACATACCTCAGATAGATAACTGGACTGATCCGAGCAGACCCTGCAGAATAGAGCCTCCCAATCAGATGTCAAACTGTACATTTTCACAGAGCATAAAGGAAGAGAGTAATTGCTGCATGTACTCCGATAAGAGAATACAAAAAGTCAACTCTTCAGAAGTCCCCGCATATTCTAACGTTATTCCTGAATCGTGTCCGGTCGATGGTCCCGAGATCCCGGTTCCCGGCTATTTCAGACTGAGCCAAACTTATGCGAACGGGAAGCATCAGGAAAACTACTGCCATGAAGCACCGAGTCCAAACGCGACACTGATGCAGCTCAGCCGGGTCACCCCGAAACCGCAGCCCTCGTCGGCATCTTCTAATTTCTCAGAGGTGGATAAAAAAATTGAGGACGCTTCGCAAAACCCGGAAACCGCAAGAACGCCGGTCCCCGTAGAAAGCCCGGATCCCAAGTCGGGCTCGGAGGAGAAAAACTGCTCAGTGGAAGCGCCTGTGTCCAGTCCTGAGCTGCTACAGAAGGAAGGGAAAGGTGGGTTGGCTGTAATGAAAGCTTTTATCTCGTGGCGCGGTGCTGAGAAGGCTCCAGCATCATAAAACCAAGTATAAAACACAAACAACCCTAAAGTCGTAATGTTTAATGAGAGTCTTTCTCAGGTTGCACTGATAGGCAACAGAGAATGGTTTTACCATGCAGCATGAAGCCTATGTCCTCCTGTTCTTTGGATATTTAAAGTATATGCATATTTTTTTAATGCATGATCTTGTGTTATGTGAGCATATTGCACAGCTTTCATAAATTGAAGCGTTAAATCAAGCTCCACTGATTAATTCTAACATCTGTTTGGCAAATGTGTGAACTTTTAAGTTTTGGAAAAAGATGAAAAATGATGAGGAGAAATCTCACCCTAACTCCAATCCAGTTTTGACAATTTGCAAAATTAGTAAAATATGTCAAATTCCTTATGAAATCTTACACGATTCATATTAATTCACTATTTAAATCAGGATTTACAGAAAAAAAATCAGGCCATATACACACGTATTCCTCGTGTGCGGGTTGATCATTTGGGGTTTCATTTCATTTTTGTTTTATTAGTGATGGCATGTGAGTGACTAATAACAACCCATGCATTTTATTTATTCAGGGAAATGTTGTGCGTTATTTCCCAGAGGTGAAATCCAAAGCAACTGATGAGCTTTTTGTTCGAGAGGACGCTCAGTGCGTCGCTAAAAGAATAAAAAATTAATAAATAAAAAAATAAAACTCTGATCTCTCTGATTTGAATCCCTGCAGACTGCAAGAGTGACACTCTCACAAACAACTGGCTGACAGCAAAAAGTGGGAGAAAGAAAAGGTGCCCCTACACAAAGCACCAAACCCTGGAGCTGGAGAAAGAGTTTCTCTTCAATATGTACCTGACCCGAGAGCGCCGCCTAGAGATCAGCAGGAGCGTTAACCTGACCGACAGGCAGGTCAAGATCTGGTTTCAGAACCGCAGGATGAAGCTGAAGAAAATGAACAGGGAAAACCGCATCCGTGAACTGACCTCAAATCTCACCTTTTCGTGAGGCTGCATGTGTTAGCTGTCTTTCCCCCTCCTCGTCCTTCACATATTGATGCTTCGCTGGCATTGGACATTTATCTCAAAATCAACAAAACTGTGACTGTATTGCCAATCTTAGTATTTTTTTTATTTGTATTATTATTATTATTATTTTGCGTGGCGTCCTGTATTTGTTTTGTTTCATCACAGGGTAACACTTTGTGGTCTTAAATTATTGGAGGGTGCTTCTCTTCTACTAAAAAGACATGGGTATCCGGCCGAGCTGTGGAAAAGGTTACTCTATTTCAGTCATGAAAGCACATTTATTGTCGTCTAGTGCAACATTTGTTTAAGAGTAAGTGCAAGCCGTGTGCTCGATAGTGAAATGTTTCTATGGGCTTTAAAGTGATGGAAAAAATACAGAACAAAACAATGTCAATCTGTGAATTTATTGCATGTTTGTGGCATGTATCTTGCAATAAATATATTGTCAAAGGATCTTGTTTTAGATTTGTCCGTGCTACACGGTCTCTGCTCGGCAAATAGCCTGCATCAGTTTTAGCAGCACTGTGAGTATCCGAAATTAATTTGCACTGACGCAAGCATTGTTTTCCTTCAAAAAACAGTCCCATTCCGAGCAGGAAAAGGCAAGAAAAAGAACAATTTCCTCCAAGCTTGTTGCACAAAACAGCAGGCAAAACAGTGTGAACGCGTCCCTCATTTGTGTTTCCAGTTTCGCCAAACGTTTGTAATTATGCCGCAACTTCATCTGAAGACGAGCCGAAACAGTAATCTTCTTAAATTCAGAAAATATATTCTCACGCTCATTTACGCGCAGGCTACTCGAGGAAGGCAAATTCTGGCTAAAAACGACTTAAAAATAAAATCTAAGTAAAATTAGTATGAATAACAAGATAGAATTCCTTTAAAGTCTATTTGGATGCAAAAGAAAAAGCTCAGCAAAAGCATGCGAAGATGGCTGATTGTGTAATGGAATAAAGTTGGTTTAGCTTTTGCGTGCAGGCCTGTTTATAATTAAACTCACTGCCTATAAGGATTAGAGGACGGAGTAAATTACTTTCGGCTCTCCCTTTCTTCGTGGCGAAATCAGCCTTCATTTTCATCAACAAAATAACTTCGTGTGGCCTTCTTAGCTTGCCACAAATCTTTTTCAAGCGTCTGATAACGTAACACAATTTCTGATCCCCTCCTCAGATTTGACCTAGTTCTTATCTCCAAGTGTTCACTGAAGGTCGAGACATTCTGCCTTACACAGTGCGAGAAAATGACATAGTGAAAAAAGTAGGTAAAAAAGTAGAAGAAGAAACATGGCAAGATGTGCAGGCTATTAGTGCTAAATTACACCTTTCAGAGAGCAATACACACATGGACTCCTCCAAGTCTTTTTTTTATTGACGGCATGTATAATCACACGCACCTCGTAAAACATTTATTGATACATTATTACTCTCCTTTCAATGAATATAATAATTTCACGACTGCTGCTGTTTCCGCCTCAACTTAAAAAATTAAACCAACTCAGAAAATACGTTTCCTTGCCAAAATATTAACAATGGATACACCGCACTGTGAGCTGAAATGGCGTCTTTTTTATTTTACAACATGTTATTACATCTATTTTACGAGGACTCTGTAAGTCCATAAACCATTTTACTGGGATTGAGGGTATCGGGACAGGACGATATTAGAAGAGCTTTTTCCCCCTTGAAGGATTAAGACAGAAGGAATCCGTGTTTTTGGACGCCGTGTGTGCTTTTTGGTGGAAATGTTTCTTACTCCTTTAAAAAACAGAACAACAGACTGCAGGTTTTGTTGAAACATCCTCACATCTTCATTAAAAAAGGGGCATTTTATTTGAGCGTTAGTTTTCTCCCACTAGTCACATCAGAATGGGCTTTTTATTATTTGAGAAATGAAAAGCTAAATTAAAAAAAAAAAAAAAAAAGGGGGGGGGGTGAGCAAGGGCAGGATTGATTTACTCGCTGTATTGGTAAATATGACCACGTGATCCATGTAACCAATCCCTGTAGATGCGGGCCAGCAAAAATACTATGATTGTTCATAAAGGGAAGCTTCCCGTAACAGTGCAACCCTTATTATATGAGTAGGAAGCCATCAAAAATGTCTTCCAGTGGCACTCTCAGTAACTGCTATGTGGACGCTATAATGGGGCAGGAGCCGGAGGATGTGTACGGTGCTCGCTTTATTCAGGCTCCACACGCGATGACCCCGAGGCCGTCAGGTGCTGGGGACAACGCAGACTTTTCCTCGTGTAATTTTGCACCGAAATCCGCTGTTTTCTCGCCGTCCTGGTCCTCAGTTCATCCTCAGGGGATTTATCATCCATATGTGCACCACCACCACCACCAGTCCCATCTGCCTGCGTCGGACGGGAGATACGTTAGCGTCCGACCGTGGATGGACCCCATTTCGAACCACGTTTCGTTCGCCGGATTCCCCTCCAGCAGTCGGTCGTACGGGACAAAGCCAGAGGTCTTGCCAGCTAAATCTTCAGATTGTGACACGTTGGAAGCGGAGGCTCGGCCGCTCGCTGGCGAATTCACGTGTGGAGTATCGGAGTGTCCAGAAAAAACAACCAAAGAACACAGTGGAAGTGAGCTTTCGAGCCACAGCGAACCCAAAGAGGAAAAACAAAAACTTGACCCAAGTAAGTAAACGAAATAGCCGGTGCTGATTTACAACTTTAAGAACTGTATGAGCCGGGTGTGTAAAACTGGAGGTTTTACTAACCTATAAAAGTGTCTCGTACTATACTGTTGCTCCGAAAGGGGAGAACCCGCCCTACAAGGGTTATTGCAGGGATCCTAATGTTTTTCATGTCACGGGACACCCGAAATAGATACACAACTGAATATTTCGATAAGACTGCATCTAAAGAGACTTTATACCTAAGTACAGATCTATTCCCCTCTGTTGGTGCACGGGGGCAATCGGTACAAACAGGAAATCATGTAATCGAAATAGTCCTCTTTGGACATAACAGGCAACAGTTCTCATTTTCTTTTGCTTCAATGAAACCGACCGCAAGTCTCTGAGCCCCATTAAGTAAAAACAATGGCTATGGTTTATTAAAGGTTACAATAAAAAGGGGAAAAACCAAACAACTAATCACATGTGTATTTACTTTATGTGTCTTTAGGTAACCCTGCAGCAAATTGGATTCACGCACGCTCGACGAGAAAGAAGCGATGTCCCTACACAAAATATCAGACTTTAGAGCTAGAGAAGGAGTTCCTCTACAACATGTATTTGACAAGAGACCGGCGCTATGAAGTCGCTCGCATACTCAGTTTAACGGAGAGACAAGTGAAGATCTGGTTCCAGAACAGGAGGATGAAAATGAAGAAGATGAACAGAGAGAGGAACGGCAAGGAGCAGCTATAAGTCCGGTGCTGGTGCCGTTTCACACATTCTGACGTTTGTACCAAGGAAGCCATGTGAACAATTATAATGATTTTTGATAGGAGCCTCCTTAGCCATTTTATTTTTTTAAATCTTATTATTATTATTATTATTATTATTTTTTTTTTTAACATTTATTAAGTGTCAGCGTTCTGGGGTTATTTGGCCAAATATGCATCACACGTGCAAAAAATTTGCCTTGATGAGACCCACAGAGGATTTGTCGAACAATGTTTCAAGCCAACTGAAAGTTTTACGCAACAAAGTGGGATGTTTACGCAGCAGGAAACATGTATGTGTATTGCTGTTATTTGGAGTTGTGTGTATATATATATATATATAAATATAAATATAAAAAGAATTCAGAGCAACTACTTCGACTGCTGTCTATGTCACTACACACACGGGACGCAGTTTCAGTAAAGCCGGAATTTACCCAGTTTTAACGACATTTTGCTTAAAATCTTTGTTTTTAAAACCTCCTAAATTATTTTTTAAGCTTTCATACAGTTCATGACAAGGTGCCATGTTTAGGAAAGGAAAAATCTCCCTTTAGTCTAAATCAAAAATAAATGCATAAAGATTTTATCCTTTATTCGTATTTTTGACACGTTGACGTAAGCACCTTGCTCTTTAATTTATTTGTATTAGACCAAAGCATATCCCCTAAGGCCTTACTTATCCAAATGCGGTTTATCGAGGCCATGTAACCTAATAGAGAACAGCACTATTTAACATAATATTAAATATGTAATGGCTGGATGTTCTTATTAGCAGCCCACATATTAAAATTATATTAAACCCCCACTAAATATTATTTAAAACATCTTTAAAAATAACTTTAAAAAACGGAAGATTTTAGTGTTTTTTTGAAAAGTAGTGCTCCAAGTCATAAAATGTTTGCTATTGGGAGAGGTGTTGCGGCGAATTTCCAATTTATGGTCCAACTTGTACGAACAATTACTTTAAAGCAGGAAGAACCGCGGTCCAATAAAGCTATAGAAATGGCTAGACGTCTGGCCTAAATTACTTTATGGGCCTGGCCAGTAATTACGCTCTCCTTTGAAAAACCCTTTTTCCTGGGTGTTTGCGTCTGTTGCTGACAAACAGAGTGTAGACACTTTTCCATGGGGTGTCTGGTCGATGAATTGTTTTAGAGGAAATCACCCCCCACCTTAATGGTCACGTGTATTCATCAATTGCACTTCCCACCGATGGGAAAAAAAAACTTAACTTTGACTGCTGTGTGGTGCAGTCTTATCTTCTGATGGGACTGTGTACTGAAATGGTCAAGAAGAGCACGTGTCTTAATTGTACTTTACGGGCAGGAGCTAACACGCTTTGTTTTTCTTTGTTCTTAAACCACCTTCAGTGGAACTTGTTGATTAAAACAGGAATCCAGAAAGTTGCAGATCTAAAAGCAATCTGTTTACCTTTACTGGAGCTTCAGGGCCCCTGGAAAGAATACCGGGAGCGCTAGAGGGCGATGTTGTCCTTTAAGTCTCAGCTAAAGCAGCCTATTCACAGCTGGAACACGTAGACAAGGCAAGGTCCATACCATTGTCCATGTTTTTACTGATTTATATCATAAACGTCTTATGCCCTGATGAACGTGTGTGAAGAAGAGCGCTCTACTTTTAATAGTTCCAAAACCTGAAAGCCCCATTTTTCTAATCGGTTATTGCAGCACCCTTATACTGATTTTGAAATCTCCTGACAGCTCCCAGGCCCCATATTTCAGCAATATGTCACACATTTGCACAAAGGAGAAGCCAAATTTAATCGTTAGAGGGAAGGCTTTCTGAAGGCAGAAACAGACCCAGCCCACCGTGTAAATGCAGAGAAAATAACAACAGAGACACTGATCTTTCACAGATGGTTTTTTCCTTTAAAGGGCATGTCTCTGAGCCTCGTCGTTTTATTATTATTAGCCTGCTATTGTTATTGTTAAATAACCAGCGAAGTAGCCTGTCGTTTTTAGACTGTCCCAGTGTCCTGCTTGTTGTGATACTATTAATAATATTACTACTACTTAAAATGTAAACTGTAGTGCTTTCTGTTTCACAAAGCTCACATTAAAACAAGTAATTACAGTTTAAAAATGGCGTCAATTCACTGACAATAAAACACACCAAGTACACTCAGATTTAGCTTTCTTTTTATATATAAATCCAAGTTGTTTTGCTTTATTTTTACACCTTACACTCATTTCGTGAAATAAAATGCAGCTTATCCTTCTTCTGCTGTTTGTGCGCTTTAGCGCAGTTATGGAGCCATAAAGAGATGTTGCAGCACATACTGCTGTGAGCATCACTTTAATAATCACTATTGAAACGGCTGAACACACGTTCAACTTGGTTGTTGTTTTTTCTTTATTTGAGACTACACTGTTTACACACACGAGGAATGGATCGAATTCTGTCTCTGCAAAGGAAGCTGCTTACCCTTTAAATAATGCGAATAGTTAGAGACCGTACTGGTTCAATTACTGGTTCAAAGGAGAATAATAGACCTAGAAGGAGCATGGGAGTAACATTTTAGTACGTCTGTCCGTCTGACGTTATTGTGTACAGTCACTACAGCAGGACAAAAACAACAGAACAGGCCTGCTTCCATCAGATTATATATGTATATATATATATATACTTTGCGCTGCATGCAGACTTTTCCCGTATTAATGTTATGCGTGTAGGCCAAGATAATCAGGGCAATTTAACATAAAAAAAGAGTAAAACGTAAAGTGATAACTTTATTAGAAAAAAACGACGTAAGACACATAATACACCTTTTTTATTTTATTTTATTTTATTTTATTGTTGGGAGAACTGTGTGCGCATTAAAAAAACGAAGAAAAGAAGAAGACGAAAAGAAAACAAATGTGATGTATGAATTTTAAAGTTCGCTTGTCAGGAGTGCATTTTAATGTCTCCTCTCCCCCACTCGTCCCAATATAATTTTAGATTTTTAATATGTTTTTTTAATTATGTATTGTTATAAATATGCTTATGAATTTAACCGCTTTTGTTTTCATAGCGACTGCAACGAAACAAGCATAGAATATGACTATATATTCTAGATCCTATTCAACAGATCCTGGACGTTACACGGTGTTTCTATGAGAATAGAGCTGCGGATGAATATAGAATGACAATGCGGAGGAACACTAAATGACACTTCTCCAAAAGCGAATGAAACACTGCGGTTTGATAAAAGTGTGGGTAGGCAGCCTCTGGCTGGTCAGGAGTAATGTGACGAGGAATTTGTAGCTCAGAATGGGTCACAAAGACAGATAGAGTCAGTGTGCTTGGCAAATAATGACACAAATGTGCCTGTAAGCATTAACTTAGTTCACCACACTTTTTAATCTTTAGTTTCTTGAAGGCAGACTTTGACATGATTCCAGGATCTGAATTTATGTCTCTGAGAAAATCAGTGTCGGCCTATCAATAAGCATGCAGCACTAAACCTGTCAGTGAAAGCCACTTGGCAAAAGAAGGAGAAAAAGAAGAAGAAGAAAACGATTTTTAAACTTTGCAAAGCCCTAATTGTCGTTTGCAGAATAACTGATATGTGATTGATTCATTTATATAAATGTATATTATGTGGCATGCCGAAACGCTTAAAGTCGTGCAACAAGATATATGTTGGGCGCAAACAAAGAGGCGCCGACATACAGTGAAAAAATGACATTGATATGCCCCATATGTGTGTGTGTGTATGTGTGTGTGTGTGTGTGTGTGTGTGTGTGTGTGTGTGTGTGTGTGTGTGTGCCTGCATAGATAGATAGATAGATAGATAGATAGATAGATAGATAGATAGATAGATAGATAGATAGGTTAAAAGTACAGTAAAGATGCATCAGTCTATTTCCCTCCAAAAGAAAGGCCTTCAAGTATAGTCTACATTACAGTAACGTCATAGTCGCAATGCAATGTGATTTAACAAATCCTGAGGTCTTGCATCTTTCTCCCTCTTTCACAGGGACACACGCGGGGAGAGAGAAAGGAAAGGGAGCTATAAGACAGGAAACCAGAGCCATTGCTCGGGCTAGCCTAACTATAAATCGCACAGTGCTTTCTCTGGCGTGCCACCAGATGAACGAGAGTGAAATACATGAAATTCCTCTTTGGTGCAGTCGTAGACACGTGTGCAGAGACTGCATGCAGTTGCAGTATTTAGGTCTTTAAGTGTCGAGTTTCAATTACACGAAAAAACTTTCACACCATAGTGTATCTCTGTCTCTAATAATAAACAACAGCTGGCCTGTAAGAGGGTGGGAAAAAGCCGTTGATAAGCAATATCATTTGGAAACACAAAAGTCCCGCATCCGTTGAAAATCTGTCCTCCAGGACAATGACTGAACATCCACGGGAAAAGGCCGGCGACAAAGCATTAGACTTTTAATGAGGGAAAAAAGGTGTAAATTATACTTGCTGGTTTTATTGTGTGGCGTTTTCCTAGCATCTGCTGCACAGGCCGTGAACTCACAGATGAGAAATAAAATAAAATAAAGGCACAAAGTTGTTCTGTATTTTATACAAGAAATATTTGGTTTCTCAAAAGATTTTGTTTCGTAAAATCTCCAGTTTCTGCAAAACGTTAAACATCAACGTGATCTATGGCAGATTATGCATTTTAACACTGTAATATCCAAACCTCGGATCAGTTTGATTTTGCCAAATATTTAATAATAATAAAAAGATTAATCTCATATACTTAATCAGACTCGTTTCTTAGTTGTTCTGTACACTTTGCATGAAGTTTTAGATTTTTGAGTGATGCAAACGACGACAGAAAAAAAAAACAACAGGGGGAAAAGCTCTTGCTTGGGGGACCTGGTGGGGCTTCTGCTATTATGCGCCAAGATGGAGAGAATTGCTGCAGTCCAAATTCCTTTTTGTGAGGGGACAATTTACAACTTGGTAATAGACCTTTTTATGTGCCTCCATCGCCTGTCATTGGATGCCACTGGTCATGTGCGAGAGGCAAACGTCTTCATGGCCCTTTTCCTGATTTCCCTGGCGATTTCCCCCCACTGCATTCTGTATCACGTTGTCTATGGTGTTAAACCGATACACTACGGTCTGCTCTCTTAAAAA